CACAGACAGGAACATTTGCATGTGTCTCAATAACCCAAGTCTGTCAGTTTACGCCCAATATCTGAAGTTCAAATTTCATAACCTACATTGATAGTCTTGCCACATGTTTATCATGAAATGTACACACATTTGTTTGTTTGTGTGTTGTTTAACGCCACACTCAGCAATATTCCAGCTATATGATGGTGGTCTGTAAATAATGAAATCTGAACCAGACAATCCAGTGATTGACATCATGAGCATCAACCCACACAATTTGACATTGCTTCCTGTGTCATGGAAAGAAACAAATTTTAGATAGAATATACAATGTAACAATTTCTTTGTTCATACATAATATTCATCCATCAATTATGAGGAATACCAAATACATATACGAAAAAAACCCACAACATTTCTAGTATAATAAAATACCATGTACTCATTATATACTACTTAAAAGAAATTAAAGAACACCCCATTCTTTCATATTACTATAGTCAATCTGTCATGCCATGTCATGCCAAGTCGGGTGTTTTTAAACTCCGTTTGAGTTTAGAGGGGTATATACACAAAATAAACCTAACCTAGCCTTCAAAGCTTGTGACTCGATACTGACTGTTGTTTAACACTACACTCGGCAATATTCCAGCTATATGATGTCAGGCCTGTATATAACTGAATCTGGACAATTCAGTGGATGATATGAGCAACGATCAACTCCATGACAAACTGTCAACCATGTCAATGAGCCTGACCAGATCCATTAAGTCGACTCTTACGACCAGAATAGGTTGCTTTGGACCAATTCTAAAATGAAATCCAATTTTGATTTGAATGAAATGAATACTGACATGTACTTTCCGGAGAGACGTGTATGTCCTGATAATGTTCACATCTTTTGTCAGTCATACCAGTCACATCTCCCCGAGGCAAGAGAGTTAACTGACTATAAAAGTCCAGTTTCCACCCTTGCCGAACTAGGCTGGTTTTATAGAGTTACATATTGGCTGGACTAACTAGTCTATGCATAGTCCAATCAAAATCGCGCAACGAAATCCGGTTAGTAAAGTTTCCTGCAGATTTCGTCGATTGCAGGATTGCGAAACATGTGCACCGCCAACTCCTTGTATACAGATATTTTCCTAGTCTTTTTCTTGTTTTTAATCAAGGTGCTCACATGATTTGATGCACTTCGCATTTTATCACGTTATCGGTCTTGATTATCGATCAGATCTTCTTGACTGGGCACCGCTATTTTGTTTGAAACAAATACAAGTGATACGAGAGGTAGAATCTGATTGGTCCATAGGAGAGGCTTTGAAGGGACATAACTCGTAATAACCAATGGTGCTGCAACGATCGAGCCCAGGAATTCCAGCCTAGTTCGGCAAGGGTGGAAACTAGACTTTTAAAGTCAGATAACTCCCTTGCCTCGGGAAGATGTACCAGTCAGTGTCTTTACTCCTGAACAGGCCCTTCAATATGGCTGCCATGGTGTCAGTGCTGAATGTTGTTTATATTATTAATTTGAGAACTGTCATTGTTCAGAACAAATACACAAAATGTTGATTTCTTTGATTTTAGAGGAGATGTTGAAAATGTGAAGTCATTATAGGGGTATGTGAGAATGAAATTGTAGCTGGGTCACAATTAGTCTAAAAAAAACTGCATACAGAATTCAGTGATGTATACAAGAAATAAGAAAACATATATTTTATATATGGCTGCTGTATTGGTCATGTTTAAATATGATTCAAATTCTGTGAGCAATATTTAGAGACATTATTTCTGGAATCATCCATGCAAAGCTTTATTTAGTATCTTAGGATACTTGTTGGAAATGTAATATAAGGATAGTTTTCCAGCAAACTGCAGTCAACATAGTACACATTACTATGAGATAATGAACTAAAATAGATGATGTTAGGATCTGAGTATATATGCAATAAAATCCATATCCTCTAGCGATTCTAAAAATATATATTTCAAAGCTAACTTTAATCAGACTTGTCAGAGTGTTAGGTTTTTATTAAGACAAACTTTTCTGATGCATAAATAATGTTTCTACATATCATAGTGGTTACTAAAACATTGTGATGGTCGTAACACCAACATTTCCAGCCCACAACTCTCTCAAAGTAGCTTTCAAGGATCGGTTTAATACTACAACAATACTCTCATTCTTTCCATCTAAAAAAGCTACATTTGTCTTCCACGTCACACAAGAATCCAATTCTCATAAAAGTTAATCAAGTCCACTTGGCAAATTAACAAAAGCATAGACAGTTTTTCAGTATCTTTTCTAATTAAAAAAAACTCCTGACACAGGGAATGGCAATCATTGAGCACGAGACAAAATGGGAACTTTCTAAATGTTGTGATGCATCCTGACTTTGTATTGATTCTATGAGGCTGGTCTTTCTCAAACAACTATCTCCACAAGACCACTTCATTCAGCCCCCATAATACCAGATGGGAAAGAAATTCAAAAACCATTAATTCCTCAACGAGACACTTGTGGAAATGAAATTGATTGGAAGTGTGATCTTTTAATATCAGTAAAAAGGCATTGCTTTTGCTAAACAAATAAAAACATGAAAAACATAATGAACTTAAGATTAAAAATGTCTTTCAGGTCAAAAATCATCTTTCAGACGAAAGGATATTGTTTCAATCTTAATAATATACAAAAAAACAGATCATGAAGTCTTGGAAGTAGTTGCATTATTCATTTTGTTTAGTTATCAAAATGTGCTCCAATGTACAAATAAATAACCGATTCATGAAAATTAGTTCCTATTTGTTTATGGTTTTCATATACAAATAAAATACACAGTTCCCAGCAGGAAACAATGATTCAGTTTCAGATCTCCTACAAAAACATTTACACAGATAAAAATCTCAGCTTGAAAATCTTAAGTGATACTCAAATATAAAACAATACACATTATATCAGAACTGAATATGTGATGTTGTGAGGTTATTAGCTTCTCGCTAAGACATCCAACCGATAGGGAGCACTATTCTACAGACAATTTTATCCCCCAGGCAGATTCCCATGGTGAGGGTCATGTGGGTGACACTACTATCATTGGTCTTTAAGGCAATGGGTGTGACAAGGGACTATCTTTATCACCTCACATCTTGAACATGTGATTGTTCATGAATATAGATACAAGTACATAGATACATGTATGCAATTTCAAAAATTACTTTCTACAAAAAGGCATTAAAATGGGTTTTTATCATGGGTTTTGCTAATTGCAGTAATAGATTTTATAGAATCCAACAACAAAAATAGAATATTACCTAAGTATGTAAACTCAATCCTCCCCATCAAGCACAATACCTTTTCAAGATATGTTCAAGGGTATCTGTTTACATTCAACTTCTCAAAAACATTAATATGAAGGGAGTAAAACTCTTCAGATTTCCTACAATAAATCACCATTCTTGGCAACTTGGCTATTGTCAGTTTCCCTTTCTTCTGAGAAGAATCAGCCAAGCCACTTCACTGAGGAAGGTATTCATCAACTTGTGTATCAGTTATATGAAACACCAAATTTTGGGCTTTTCAGCATCTGTACAAGACAATCTGTACATAAACACATAGTACTCTGGCAATTCACTGAATCAGGACACTTTACACCACAATGTGTGTCAAATTAACACTTGTATCTGTACAAAACACTACATGTAGCATATCTAAAGGTGACTGCTACATAGATGGATGGAATGTCAACACATTAAGTCGAACATTAAGTTACTTTTGATGAGGTCTCTTTAGCAAGTCATTAGCAGTGACGTTGGGATTGAGTGAAGGAATGGTGTTGATGTCAGTCAGCAACATTACAAACCTGACTCAAATGAGAAAAGAAAATTACAACCAAATCATGATTCCTCAAAGGAATTGAGCCTGAAATAGTCAAACGGGTGAGGACAGAGCACCAGTACATGCTGTTGAGGTGCAATGGTTGTTGACACACAGTCTGGTCATGGCTGGCAGTTGGTCTGCTCATGTGGTCCCCCAAGTACTCATCACACACAACAGCCATTGTGGCCATCTGATCCTCACTTTAGTCAGCTCTTGTAACCGGAGATCTATTCAGCCCCAAAACACCCATGGTATAGTCTGCTTGAACACATCTTTATAGAATCCATTTTGAGTGTATTGCCTTGTTTGTTGTTTAGCTCATACTCAGCAATATTCCAGCTCCATGACACTGGTCAGTAAATAAATGAATCTGGACCAGACATTACAGTGATTGACATGAACATTGATCTATGCAATTGGGATACAATGGCAAGCATCAAGTTGACGAGCCTGACCACCAGATCCAATCAGATCTTACAAACACAGGTTGCTGAAGACCCATTCTAATACCAGCATCATGAAGGCATTCATCAGTGTGGTTGGTGTACGATGACAGCAGATCAGTGTGGGCTTTCCCAGCTAGCAGTCACCATTGTGTCCACCTGATCCTTAATTTACTGGCCTCAAATGTCAAGGGTGCAGTATTTGTCACCTACTCTGGAATGTCTACTGATGTGTGTAATGTCTGGGTTTATGCCATTTTTAGCACTATTCCCGCAACATAAACCCTGTAAAGAGTGAGAATGGTTTAATTCCATAATATTCCAGCAATATCACAGCAGGGGATTTAAACTCAGACCTGGATGAGTGAATGCTTTAAATATCAGTCTATCCCACTACCAACCCTTAGGATGAGGAAATGCTTCAATAACCCATGCTTGTCGTAAGAAGAACCTCATGTAAACAGGACTGGGTGGTAAGACTCTGACTTGGTTGATGCATATCATTGTATCCCAATTACGTAGATGGATGCTCATGATGTCCATCACTGGATTGTCTGGTTCAGACTCGAATATATACAGACTGCCATCATATAGCTGGAATATTGCTGAGTGCAGCGTCAAACAACAAACAAACAAACCAAACTACAAGTCTATCCCACAACCTCTAACACTAGCTAGACTACCAAGTGTGATGAACTGACCTGCAGGCAGATGGACAAGGGCTTCACAGTGGCCACTATGCAACAGCAGACATATCTGGAAGAAAGGAAGAGATAGTTGCTCAAAGTCAGGAAACAACAGTTGGTATACAATATCTACACAACTGTGCAGGAAAAACATAAAGGGGTCCTCATCTTAAAAAAAGGGTATTATGTCTGATGTTTTGTATCATATAAAGGCTGTTCCCCAATAAATTGCTGGAGGACAAGTCATGCATGTTGAAATACTGTACTGCCAACTTCATTGCAGGCCAAACAAACTTTATTTCTTGTTTTAAATATTTTCAAGGCCAATTTGAAAAACTGTATGATGCAAAACAATAAGGAAAATTGACACAGGCAATTTACAAGAAAACAGTTACAAGAAAGAAAATTTAAAATTGATAGAAAGGGAGTTCAGAAAATCATTTAGAAAACATGTTATAATTGGTAAACATACATATTTGAAACAAGCATACTTCCCAAACTACTTCCAAACAAATAATATTGGTTTTCAGTTCTCTCTCACTTGTCCAAACTTTAGGTAAAAACAGATGACTGTTAAACTTTCACCTGTTTTTGGGGTGCCTGATATTTTCAATAAGTTTCACATGTAGTTGTAAAAATTGGTTATGACTAAGAATACATGTCTGTTTATAAGGGAATCTAAACAAATCACATAATTTCTGCTCTATCTGACGTATTCTACCTACTGACCACATTTCACAATACTCGACTTGGATACCCGAAAGAGACATTTCGAGAGGGGCTCAAATGTCGTCCATGGATAGCTCATGGGATATTAATATCAGTAACTGATAGCAGGCCCAATGGATTCAGACAATACTGATCCCAGATAGGAAGTGTCTTGGATGGAGAACTGTATCTCCCTTGCATTGACCCACTGATACTATTGTGTGTTTACACACATATTGTGGAGACTTATCAAGGCATTTGACTTAATTGAAGCAAGGAGATTGATATATTCATATGGTCTATCACTATCCAATATATCATATCTAAAACTTTCATTTCACCCTTGCACATTTAGATAGCTGTATTACCATGCTTAGTTCACACAACTAATGGTACCTGTGACAACCACACCCACCAGCCTTGAGTATACTGATGGAATGAACTTATTTGTGAAAAGTTTATTTGTTGTTCAACACTGCTCTCAACAATATATCAGCTATATGATGGGGAGGATTTTAAATAATTGAGTCTGGACCAGGCAATCCAGTAATTGACACCATGAACATCAACTAAGTCAACGAGTCTGACCACTCGATCTCACTAGTCACCTCTTCCAAGCATAGTCGCCTCTTACGGCAAACATGGGTTGCTGATGATCTATTCTCTATCGGGATCTTCACGGATCTTTGTGAACAGTGGGACATTTTCCTAATTTCCACCAACCACAAAATGATCGTCCTAAAATATTAGTGTCACTGACATTATCAAGGAGGAGTTTATGCATGTTATTTTAAACTATTTATCTACAATTTTCAACTTCCCATTCACTCATCATCCCTATCTTTCATTTCTTTTCGCAATCCATAAATTAAATAGAAAACTTTGCAAGAAATTATTAAATACAAATTGTTTTTCCAAAAGGTATCTAGAGGATGGTCTTGCCTGCCACCTGTTGGTACATTCAAAAGCCTGATAGATTAATGTTTTTACATGCTGTTAAATGCTGTAAGATTTGCTGAACATGTGTGTTTACAGTTAACCACAGACCTTAGCTCTTCTGTGTCAGTTTCTTTTCCATAGAAGTTGTGATCGGTTTGATTACCTGAATGAGTTTTAAGTCTGCAATGTTCTGGTAGAAATAGTATGGTGATTGAGTACGATCATATGCTGACTTAGCAATATTAGCATGATTTGTCATGGTGGTTTACACCAGTATAGGCTCCACACATTGTACCCATTTATGAAATCAAACAGTTCTTTGATATGACAGTCAAACACTTTAACCACTAGGCTACCCCCTGCCTTTCAACAGTATGAAACTTATTCTTTGGCACAGTAATGTACAGACCGGTACAAAACAATGAAATCATAAAACATAAAGAGACACATGTGGAGAGACAATATAGTTCTTGAAATTTGACATTTTGTACAATTATACAACTTTAGATTCCAAACCAAGTACTTAAATAATCCATGCCTTGCTTTAGACCTTATGTATCATGCATGTGTCAATCAACAAGCAATCTACTACTTGTAGAATGAAACTGAAGGTAATTTTTAAGAGAGAGTGCCCAAGTACCCCACTGTGATGAAACTCACGAGAACAGGTATAGTGCTGACAAATCAAGGGTCACAATCAGAGCAAATCTGGGGTTTGAACCCGCAACCAGCAGATCCTGGCATGGTTAAGGGACAATACTGCACAGCACCTTAGACCTTTGGACAAACTATTCTACAAGTAGGGAGAATGGGTGGACAAGGAACACAGTTTGCACATACTGAATTCAATGGACACCTGTATGTATTGACAGTGCTCTCCAATGTATATATTCAGGTCAAGTAGCAGGTTCTGTTATTTTTTTAAAGTGTTCCCCAAACCAGGTCAGTATTGTGACAATCTTCAGAAACCAGATGACATGATAACCGCCAATCAAACATCCAATTAAGTGGGTGTACAATTCTCATGTTCCTACCCCCACTTAAGTAGCATGCATGTCATATCAGTCCTCCTCACCACAGACAATCTTGAGATCGGCACTAATGCCCTACAAAAGAGTGAAAAAAGGAAAACATTTTTAGAACTCTTTCATGTCTTTTTTCTGTGCCATAACCCACAATCATAAAGGTGATGAAGAAACCTGTTGTATCTCCAGGGCCGACATGGTGATCTGCTCCCTTCTACAGTCCAGGAATTTAATCTACAGGTGGATCGTCCGTTTCTCACAAATGTGTACACCTTCCACTGCAGTGGTTATCTGAGCACACACTTTCAGGTAGGTCATAGTCATTAGTGCTACATGGGTCCTTCCCTCGCCCTGGACTGAGGCGGGGCACCATGTTTCCGGCTGTCAGATATCTCGCAGAACACATGCCTGCCTGGGTCATCAGTCCTTAGCTATATTCTCCAGCTTCAGTATCTGATGATCTCACCCATAAAATTCCATTTATAACGTATCTTTAATTGAAGATGCAGACAAGGCTGGGTCTCCTTTCTATCTCTCTTTATCACGCCCATTCTAAAACACATTTTTCCCAGTTGAAGTACGGTCAGCATTTCTTAGCATTCAGATGATAAATGTTCTTCAGCTACATCTTTCAGATTCCATATTTTTTTCCTGTAACCTGTCATTACATATTGAAACCAGTGCATCAGATCCCTGTCTGTTGTTTAATGCCACACTGAACAATATTTCAGCTATAGGACGGCGGTCTGTAAGTAATCGAGTCTGGACCAGACAATCCAATGATTGACATCATGAGCATCACTTCACAATTTGGCAGATGCCTGTGTTCGGCATGACAAGTCAATACTTGAGAACTAAGGCCACCCCATAAACCCTGTGATGTATCCACATTCCCATGTTCCCATGACCTTATCCAAACCGCCATATTATCCCCCTAATAAACACAAACAGTATTTCTTCACACACAGATTTCTCATCGTTTTCATTTTGTCAAACCTTGTAACTGTATGAGGGAGTTCCAAATGAACATCATATTAAATTACTTGACCCTTAGGTTAAAGAAAATATTTAGTGTCACCAGTACCAGTATCCTAAAACTATATACCATTCATCATTTCTTTTGATTTCTTTTATATACAGAATTGTCCCTATTTCTTACCTACCTTTTCAAATATTGGAGTAACATAATGCAAGTATTAAGAAAAGAAGGGCTTTACGGGTATATAACATGTGGGAACTATCATATCCACACAGGAAATGGTATGGGCGACTATTTGAGGCATTTTACATAGCATTGCAATAGTATAATGAGTGCCTTCCCTTCACACCATGTATTTTTTCTGGCATTATTTGACATGAAGCCTATAAGTGACAAACAAATGATTGATAACATGAGCACCAATTTGGATCCAATGAAAAGTCGTCTTCAACCATGGCAGCTCATTTTGTTTCATCTTTATAAAAATAAATGTATCCATTAATAGGAAAACTAGAGAAAAAGTAATTTTATTTGAAAAAACACCTCATTGGAAACATCAACTTAACTTCCTTAAATCTGATTCATTAAAAACAGTATCTCAAGTTCAGAGCCTAACAAAGGAAATATGATACAACAATCCTCCTCTTTATGTACTGTGTTTCAGGGAGGATGTTTTCCCCCATCTGGATATAAGGTACAGTGTAATATATGGCATACCTGTCTCTAATGCTACATGCACCTGCACCATTGTTCCATTGGGAGATCACAATTATCACATAAGTATTCTCATGTTGAAAACTTACACCAATTTGTTAGAGGGCTGGGGATAGTTTATTTGATGCATCCACTCAGTCTCTACAGGGCTGTTAGCATCTTTTGCTTTTTGTTAATTGGGATTTATGGTAGAAAAAACGGGCATGGTGTACAGTTGGTGATGTTTTTCCATGATAAGGTTGGTGTTGGTTGTATATGAAGACATGCAGGGAGAGATATGATAGGTAATATATTGCAAAAATAGTCCAAGTAAGACGACAACCAGTCTTATCAAATTGCAGGGAAATAAGAATCATTAATGTCTATATTATGAAGCAAAACATATCAGATTTGGTTAACTTAATGCGATGTAATGTTACAATTTGCAAGCCAGATTATTTCAACATTGCTGTGTTGTCATATCACTACCTATAAATTTTGGCCCCACCACGGCACCTCTACCCCTCCAACTACCATTGGTACACCATCAGATGAGGCCGTCACGGCACCTCTACCCCTCCAACTACCAGTGGTACACCATCAGATGAGGCCACCACGGCACCTCTACCCCTCCAACTACCAGTGGTACACCATCAGATGAGGCCATCACGGCACCTCTACCCCTCCAACTACCAGTGGTACACCATCAGATGAGGCCATCACGGC